TGGTCTCAAAATCCTGACCTCAGGTGATTCGCCCACCACAGCCTCCCAAAATGCTGAAATTACTAGGCATGAGCCACTATGTAATTGTATTATAAGAAGGAATATTTTACTTTGGCCACTTCTAGTTGCAAACCCAGGACACCAAATAAACAAATAATTATTAAAACCACCATCATCATCTGTATGTTAGAGAACAAAACTGATAAAACACTGGAATTCAGAAATCTTGGCCTGCATTATACAGCAGCTCTTCCCTTCAGTTAAACTTGAAGGAGGGCTGGGTATGGTGGCTCATGCCTGTAATCCCAGCACTTTGGGAGGCCAAGGTGGGCAGACCACCTTAGGCTAGGAGCTGGAGACCAGCCTGGCCAACATGGTGAAACCCCAACTCTACTAAAAATACAAAAATCAGCCAGGCGTGGTAGCACATGCCTGTAGTTACAGCTACTCAGGAGGCTGAGGCAGGGAAATATCTTGAACCTGGGATGTGGAGGTTGCAGTGAGCTGAGAGTGTACCACTGCACTCAAGCCTGGGTGATAGAACTTGACTCAATCTCAAAAAACAAAAACAAAAAAAAGAATAAAGATGCGGCCTATAAAGTCTTATGTCAATAATTATTCCCTCCTAGTTTGCCTTTCTTAAGACTGTCTTAAAAACACTAGTTAATTTTAGAAAGATTTTAAAATTTAAAGACTTTGGACCCCATTCTCTCTACTTGCTTGATCTTGGGGTGAAAGAACAAAAACTGCTGGGTAAGGACAAAAGTTAAAATTTGATTTCTTTTGTTTTAAAATCCCTCTAAAGCAGACACTAACAGTGGTGACAAAGGTTAGAAAGGATTAACTTCAACAGGCCAAGGATCTGTGAAGTACCCTGTGAACTTAAGCTTATCTAAGAAGAAAATTCTCAACAGGTACGGTGGCTCATGCCTGTAATCCCAACACTGAGAGGCTGAGACAGGTGGATCACCTGAGGTCGGGAGTTCAAGACCAGCCTGACCAACATGGAGAAACCCTGTCTCTACTAAAAATACAAAATTAGCTGGGCGTGGCGGCGCATGCCTGTAATCCCAGCTACTCAGGAGGCTGAGGCAGGAGAATCACTTGAACCTGGGAGGTGGAGGTTGCAGTGAACCGAAATCAGGCCATTGCACTCTAGCCTGTGCAACTATAGTGAAACTCTGTCTCAAAAAAAGAAAAGAATAAAATTCTCTTTTTTGGGGAGATTACAGGCTCAATTTACAAAAACTTCTCGGCCCTTTTAAAGATCAATACGAGGCCGGGCGCGGTGGCTCAAGCCTGTAATCCCAGCACTTTGGGAGGCCGAGGCGGGTGGATCACGAGGTCAAGAGATCGAGACCATCCTGGTCAACATGGTGAAAACCCGTCTCTACTAAAAAAATAAAAATAAAAATAAATTAGCTGGGCATGGTGGCGCGTGCCTGTAATCCCAGCTACTCAGGAGGCTGAGGCAGGAGAATTGCCTGAACCCGGGAGACGGAGGTTGCGGTGAGCCGAGATCGCGCCATTGCACTCCAGCCTGGGTAACAAGAGCGAAACTCCGTCTCACAGGTGAAATCCCGTCTCAAAGATCAATACGAGATATCTACTTACCCCACAAAAAGAAAGATGTTTTCATATTCAAAGGCCAACCTGGTCTGTAATATATTAGCTGCAGGGTAACTATTTATTTTTTTTTATTTTGAGAAGGATTTTCACTTTTGTCGCTCAGGCTGGAATGCAATGGCATGATCATGGCTCACTGCAACCTCTGCCTCCCAGGTTCAAGCAATTATCCTACCTCAACTTACCAAGTAGCTGGGATTACAAGCAGGCATCACCAGGCCTGGCTAATTTTTTTTGTATTTTTAGTAGAGACGGGATTTCACCACGTCGGTCAGGCTGGTCTTGAACCCCTGACCTCAGGTGATCCACCCACCTCAGTCTCCCAAAGTGCTGGGATTATAGGAGTGAGCCACTGTGCCCAGCCAGGGTAACAATTTATTCAGCACTTTCAATGTGCCCACCTGGACAATGTAAAACATTTTGTTTATTAATGCACTTAAATTGCACAAGTACCTGGGTGCAGTTATTAACCTCATTTTATGAATGAGGATACTGAATCTTAGGTTGAGTAATTTCCCTAAGGGACACAACAGCTCATAAAAGTGACATCAGGATTCATATACAGACAGTCTGATTTGAGTTCATTTCCTTAGCAACTTCACTTTACCATCACTTACCCACAACACTTGTGCTAATACCAATCCCTGAAGCAGTATAGTGTTTTAGGGTTGGCCAATCTTTTTCCTGAATATCTGATCATCACACAGATCTGGTACATAATAATAATGGGTGAGACCAAGTATATAAAATGCCCTGAAAAACATCTGCCACATAGCATATTCTCTATAAGAAGCCTTGGGCCCTTAGAGATACTGGAAGGGTCATGAACTCTTAGAAACTGTATACTAACTTTTATGTGGATGTGTACATTTTCCGGGAGATAATCTGAAGTGCTGGATCAAAAATAAGTGCCACACAAAGGATCTACATAGTTCTCCAAAGAACGAATGGCTAACAAGCCCATGAAAAGATGCTCAAAATCATTAGTTATCAGGGAAATGCAAAACCATGAGGTACCTCTTCATACCCGCTAGGAGGCTATGCTATAATCAAAAGGTCAGACAATACAAAGAATAGGGAGAAACTGGAACTATCATGGATTGCTGGTGATCATATAAATGATAGAGTTGCTTTGGAACAAATTCTCGCAGTTCCTCAAAAGGCCAAACACAAGAGTTACCATATGGCCCAGAAATGTGACTCCTAGGTATTGCCCCAAAAGAAATAAAAACATACGTCTACACAAAAACTTGTATACAAATGTTTATACCAGCATTACTCATAATTGTCAAAAAGTAGAAACAACCTGAATATGCATCAACTGATTAATGGACAAATAAGATACGAAGTAGCCACAGGAAAAAAGCCCCTGGACTCAAGTGGGCCATGGGACTAACATGGGGAGCTGCCTGGGGACCGTGTGATGGCATTGCTCCAGAGAAGGAGCTCACAGAGTCCCACACACACTATGGATTCAAAGCAGCTACAGCAAGGTGCCATTTTTAGAGCCCAGTGCCCCCCCCCCCCCGCAGGCTGCATCCTGTCCTGGGGCCCAACAGCTCTGCATCTTCACATCCCTGCAGCCTCATTGACATCCCCTGCCCACAGCCACCTCCACTGCTTGCTGCTGCCTACAGGGCCAAACCATGAGCCATTAGCAGTGACCCCACCATGCTCAGTATTGGGGTCACCACACATTTAAAAGTGCCCTGAGGAAAGGCAGCCTCATTGAAAGCCACAATCTGGAGCAAAGTTAGCTTTCCTCTGCTGCCTATTTATAGCTGCTGCCGCTGAAACAACTCTGCACTCCCCAGCAGCAGGGCCACAACGTAGCCGCTGCCACCCCAATTCAAGCATTCTGCGAAGGGGCTGGAGATCACCTCTCCTACCACGGCCAGTGACTACAAGCACCATAAGGGGCCTGAGGAGAAGCCCACCCTGCCCAGCTCCAGCCCACACAGTGCTGGAGCATACTATCCAGGGGGCTAGAGATCACCTGCCCCAACCACCACAGTTGGCACCTGAGCATTCCTCCCAGGAGCCTGACAACAGACGCACCCAACCTGCCACTACCACCACGGCTGGCACCCACACATACCACCTGCAGGCCTGGGGACTGACCCACCTAGCCCATCATACCCACTGCCAAAACCAGCATGGGTCACCTGGGAATCAGAGGATTGTCTCACCACCGCTACTGTCATCACTCACACCACCCACACTGTCCAGGGGCTCAAGGACATACCTACCTGCCTATCCCACCAGTGCCACTGCCAGCACCCAAGAAAGCCACCTGCAGGCCCAAGAATCAGCTCACCTGGCCCCACTAACACCAGTGCCAGCATGTGCCACCGAGTGGCCCACGAACTGGCAAATTCAGCTCACTGCTATCACCACTGGGGCCCAAGGACTGGCCCACCGTATACCCCCATCCCCAGCAAAACTTCACCACAGCCTCTACTAACAATCACACCCAAAGCCACTAAGCAAATCTCAGACACTGCTGACACCATTTACAGCTGAGAAATCATATAGACACTACACTACTGCACACACCCAGAATCAAAGCCAAAGTGCCCTACCTAAACACCAACACATAAACAAAAGATGGGAAGAAGGCAAATGGTTAGGCCAGATGCACAGATATCAATATAAGGACACAAGAAACATGAAAAAGCAAGGAAATGTGATTTCTTTTTCTTTTTTTTTTTTTCTAAAAAGAAATAGATTTCTTTTTCTTTTTTTTTTCTAAGTCACCATTGTCTGTAAAAGGTATATCCAGCAATAGATTTCAATGAAGAAATTCACACAATCCAGGAAAAAGAATTCAAACTAGTGGCATTAAAGAAGCTCAGCCAGGTGTGGTGGCTCATTCCTATAATCTTAGGAAAGGCAGCCTCATTTAAAGACATAACTCCCACACACATATTTTCACAGAAGTCCTCTGTGCTGATTGTTGTGGTGTAAAAGTAGAAAAGAAATGAGTGTTTTCCCTGACACAGACAAAAATAAAGAAAAAATAATTTAAAAGAATAAAGTCTACGTGACATATGAGGCACCATAAAACAGCCAAATATTCAAAATTTTGGGGCTTTAGAAGGTGAAGAGAAAACAAAAGGAATAGAAAACCTATTTAATGAAATAATGGCTGAAAACTTCCCAAGTCTAGCAAGATATTTAGACAACCAGAAACAGGAAGCTCAGAGATTGCCCAAAAGATAAAATTCAAAAAGATTTTTTCCAGGGCACATTATAGTCAAACTCAGAGAATTCTAAATTCTAAAAACAGCAAAAGAGAAATGTCCAGTGATTTATACATGAACCCCCATCAGACAGACAGCAAATATCTCAACAGAAACTTTACAAGCCAGGAGAGAAAGAAATAACATATTCAAAATTCTGAAAAAAAGTGCTGCCATCCAAACATACTATTCCCAGCAATGTTATCCTTCATAAATAAATGAGAAGTAAAGTCTTTCCCAGAAAAGCAAAAGCTGAAGAAATTCATCACCACTAGATCACTTCTATAAGAAATGTTTAAGTAGGTCCTGTACAGGCCGGACGCGGTGGCTCATGCCTGTAATCCAAGCACCTAAGTAGGTCCTGCACATAGAAGCAAAAGGACAATATCTACCATCATGAAAATACACAAAAGTATAAAACCCATTAATAGGGCAAACACACAAATAAGGAAGAGAAAGTGCTCAAATGTTACCACTACAGATTACCGCCAAAGCACAATGATAAACAATAAGAGAGAAAGAAAGGAACTAAGGATATACAGAACAACCAGATATTAATTAATAAAATGACAGGAATAAGTGCTCCCAGATCAATAATAGCCATGAAAGTAAACTGTTTAAATTTTCACTTAAAACATATAGACTGGCTGAATGGACTGGAAAAAAACAATGACCCTGGCTGGGAGTGCTGGCTTGTACTTTAGGAGGCCCAAATGGGAGGATCGCTTGAGGCCAGGAGTTCAAGACCAGCCTGGTCAACAATGTGAGACCCCATCTGTATAAAAAAAAAATTCTAATTAAGAAAAAAAAGACCCAACTATATGCTACTTGTAAGAAATTCATCTCACCTACAAAGACAGATATAGACTGAAAGTAAAGGAATGGAAAAAGATATTCTATGCAAACAGAAACCAAACACAAGCATAAATAACCATATTTACATCAGATGAAACAAACTTTAAGTAAAAAAAGTTAAAAGAGACAAAAAAGATCATTATATAATTATAATTATATAAAGCAATCAATTTGGCAAGAAAGTATAACAATTCTAAACATATATGCACCCAAAAGGGCACCCCAATATATAAAGCAAATATATATTTTTTAAATTTTACTTTAGGTGTATACTATATCTGGCATTTCTCCCTATGTTATCCCTCCCCACCCTCCCCTACCTCCCCATCCCCCATTGTCTCTCCCCTACCCTCCCAACTGTCCCCAGTGTGTGATGCTCCTCTCCCTGAGTCCATGTGTTCTCGTTGTTCAACACCCGCCTGTGAGTGAGAACATACAGTGTTTGGCTTTCTGTTCTTGTGTCAGTTTGCTGAGAATGATGGTTTCCAGATTCATCCAAGTCCCTACAAAGGACACAAACTCATCGTTTTTAATGGCTGCATAGTATTCCATGGTGTATATGTACCACATTTTCTTTGTCCAGTCTATCATTGATGGGCATTTGGGTTGGTTCCACATCTTTGCTATTGTACGCAGGGCTGCAATGAACATATATGTACATGTGTCTTTATAGTAGAATGATTTATAGTTCTTTGGGTATATACCCAGTAATGGGATTACTGAGTCAAATGGAATTTCTATTTCTAGATCCTTGAGAAATCGCCACACTATCTTCCACAATGGTTGAACTAACTTACACTCCCACCAACTGTGTAAGAGTGTTCCTATTTCTCCACATCCTCTCCAGCATCTGTTGTCTCCAGATTTTTTAATGATCGCCATTCTAACTGGCGTGAGATAATATCTCAGTGTGGTTTTGATTTGCATTTCTCTAATGACCAGTGATGATGAGCATTTTCTTTTGTAAAGTGTCTGTTCATATCCTTCACCCACTTTTGAATGGGTTTGTTTTTTTCTTGTATATCTGTTTTAGTTCTTTGTAGATTCTGGATATTAGCCCTTTGTCAGGTGGGTAGACTGCAAAAATTTTTTCCCATTCTGTTGGTTGCCGGTTCACTCTAATGACTGTTTCTTTTGCTGTACAGAAGCTCTGGAGTTGAATTAGATCCCATTTATCTGTCTTGGCTTTTATTGTCATTGCTTTTGGTGTTTTAGTCATGAAGTCCTTACCTATTCCTATGTCCTGGATGGTTTTGCCTATGTTTTCTTCTAGTGTTTTTATGGCATTTGGTTTTATGTTTAAATCTTTGATCCATCTGGAGTTAATTTTAGTGTAAGGTGACAGGTAGGGGTCCAGTTTCTGCTTTCTGCACATTATCCTACCTCAGCCTCTCCAGAGATGACAGGCATGCACCACCACACGTGGCTAATTTTTTTGTATTTTTAGGAGAGATGGGGTTTCACCATATTGTCCAGGCTGGTCTCAAACTCCTGACCTTGTGATCTGCCCACCTCGGCCTCCCAAAGTGCTGGGATTACAGAAGTGAGCCACCGCGCCCAGCCTGCTCAATTTTTAATGATTATGATTTTATACCAAGAGAAAATGAGAGGTGATTTTATATTTGCAATCTAGGAAAGAAAAAACAAGTTAACCAAAGCTGAAACTGAGCTCAGTTTCATCGAGGAGCATCTCACTATCCCTTTCTATCTCAAAAATAAAAGTTTTGTTCACTGTATATTTCTAGATTCTGGAGCAGAGCTTGGCACATAACACTCAGTATTTGTGACTGGTCATGATGAGAAAATGCTACGCCCATGATCTCAATCGCTCCAGCTCATCTGAACACACTATTCAAGAAAGCACTAATGTGTATTGACATGTAAAAATCTCCAGGAATTACTGTTAAGTGAAACAAGTTACAGATGAATATATACAATATGATTCAATTTATTTAAAAATACATGCAAAGCCAGGCATGGAGGCATGTGTCTGTAATTCCAGATACTTAAGAGGTTGAGGTAGGAGGATGCCCTGAGCTCAGGAGTTCAAGACTAGCATGGGCAACATAATGAGATTCCATCTCAATAAAATAAAATTAAATTATTAAATTAAATTAAAGCACATGCACAAATCAAAATAAATACATCTGTATGTGAAAGCACACCTAAATAATATGCTCCAAATTCAACAGTTTGATTACCTCTGGATCAGAGCGGGAGTGGTTGAGGGGTATAAAGCAAACTTTCTATTTGGATTTCTATTTGTAGTATTTGAATTATTTACAACAAAAAATTATTTTTGTATTGTTAGTGAAAAAAATTTTTAAGGAAAAAACATCTGGACAATTCTTTTCTGTGATAAAGAATCAAAGAAAAAATACATTCAATTCTGTTAACCTTACATATACCTTTTCTTAGAAAGCTACTGGAGAATATGCTCCATCAAAATGATAGAAGAAATCAAAAATGACTAAGGTGTGGGATACAGGAAACAGGAACAAGCATAACAGAGATGCAAAGTGAATCAATCCCCAAACGATGGTGAAGAGAGAGCCCAAGGTAATAGCTGTGTATCAAACATCAAGAGCAACCAGTCTGAACTGGCGAAGCAGATAAGAATTCTGTGTTAGAAACAAAACTGATTAAAATAGCTGTTGCATTAGACCTCTTGAGAGAAGATTTAAACAACTGGAAAAGAACTTGTAATTAAATTGGTGAAAACTCTGCAAACACAGAGACAACTCTGAGAAAAAAACAAGAAAGGGAAAGTAATGATTGTATACTATATAACTCAGCTCTTAATAGCATGTAGGGAGGCATAATAATGTTAGCCTAACAACTAAATATTGACCTAACCAAAAATTATGAGATAACTATATTCAGAGGATCTATAGAAGGAACAGGTAGGATGCATGTAAGTGGCAGTGGCAGGAAAGCAGAAAAGAGTTCAATCCACACATTTCATGCATGAAAGCCAATGCATGATGAGTAAATCTGAAAAACCAAGAAGAGGCAATTACAAGGAATATCTAGAGATATGGATAAAACAGTAACTAGCTAAATAAGATGAACATGATTACTTCTCTTAAAAAGCAAGAAATAGTGGAAGGTTCTACTATTTTCAGAAATTAACTTTATTGAAGTAATTGATTCTGAACAATGAGTGCATAAAACTTAAATAAAAAGCAGAAGAAAAAAAGGCACTACTGAGACTCACCTCATAATATTTTACCTAACAGTGATGGATTTTACAGCAAACAGTTGCCATGTAGACTTCTGATGTGCCACAAAATAACAACTGAGCTATAAGCAGGATGGTCACTTTCAGTTCCAGCATGCTTATGATTCTACCAGAAGTATAATGAAAGTCACTCAGATTATTTAGGCTGTTTATACTGAAATCTCATGATTTAAAACACTGTGAGGCCAGGCACGGTGGCTCAGGCCTGTAATCTTGGCACTTTGGGAGGCTAAAGAGGATTGCTTGAGCCCAGGAGTTCAAGACCAGCCTAAGCAACACAGCAAGACCCTGTCTCAAAAATAAAAATTAAATTAAATTAAAAGTAAGAAATTTAAGGCCGGGCACAGTGGCTCATGCCTGTAATCCTACCACTTTGGGAGGCCAAGGCAGCTGGATCATGAGGTCAGGAGTTGAAGACCAGCCTGGCCAAGACAGTGAAAACCTGTCTCTACTAAAAATGCAAAAAACAGCCAAGCATGGTAGCAGGCACCTGTAATCCCAGTTACTTGGGAGGCTGAGGCAGAGAATTGCTTGTACCTGGGAGGAGGAGGTTGCAGTGAGCCGAGATTGTGCCACTGTACTCCAGCCTGGGCAACAGAACAAGACTCTGTCTCAAAAAAAAAAAAAAAAGAAAAGAAAAAAGAAAAAAAAAAAAATGAGAAAAAAAAAAAAAAAAAAGGAAAAAGAGTGAAGCTATATTTCAGACACAGTATTTGCCAAATTCCTGATAGTTTTGGAGTAGATGTCTTAACCAAAAAATTAACTATGATAGAGAATTGTAAATAGGCAAGATAAAACCAAAATTTGTGGCAAATTGCAACATACTGCACGGTTCTTTCCCTTCTCCTCTGGGATAATCATCTCAAATGCTGTTCATGTCCTTGTCTATCAAGACAAGTTTAATACTATCAAAGGGTACTAGTCCCCAGTTTTTGCCCAAAAAAACAAAACTACTCATGCTAACTCCTACCCCAGATCGTTACCATTCCTGGTGGGAAACATAAGAAACAGCCAGATTCTTAAAGTCAAGGCCAGATTCCAGTCTGGCCAAAATAGCTAACGCTTTATCAGTCCTGTAAGAACCCAAAGCAGACAGCAGTGAAACATCAAAATTTATATACAGGGAGAAAGAAATTGAGTAACTCGTTTCCCACTTTAGCAATTAAAGGTGATCATTTCTCCCTAGAACAAATAATTACAATCATGTGTATGACTAGAACATCCATGTTCTCAGTGTCTTAAAACACTGACCTGAGTTAAAATCTCAAATCTACTTTTCTCCTTTGGCTTCATTTTCCTCACCTGTAAACCGGTGGGGATATAGGAGAGAAAGGATACTTGGACTTTATAGGATTACTGCCAGGATGAAATAATTAAGAATCGCAAATTCTTACAACCTGTTAAATACGTTAGGCATTATTCTAAGTGCAAATGACATACAGCATTTCATTTCATCCTGAAACTGCAAATCGTATTATCCCATTTTCCAGATGAGAAACCCGAAGCACAGAGGTTAACTCTCCCAAGATCCCAGGTGGTGATGCGGGTGGGATGCTAATTCAGGCCACCGGGCTCCAGAGCAGGTGCTCTGATCAGAGCGGGCTGAAACGAGCTAACGTTTGCTAAGCAGCCTGTACTACTCCTGAAATACAACGTGCTCAATAAATGATGTTTATTTTTCAAAGGCAGTGTGAGAAAGTCCAGACAAAATAGGCGAGACCAAGGAATGCCCAGGATCTCCGCTACTCTCCCAAGCGTCTCCCAGCGGCCAGAAGCGCCCTTCCTCTCCAAGCCCCCAGAACTTCCTGTTGCGCCCCAAGCCAGCGGTGGAGGAGCCAGCGCTGGGGCTTGAGGCTGCAAGTACCGGCGGCGCCGCTTCGGGGAAGGAAGCGGACTGCGGCGGAGGGGGCGCTTACCGTGACCAACGCTGTCATCGCTCCGGGACTCCAGCACGCGGCGCACGCGGACGCGCACGGCCGCGGAGGGGCTGCAGTCTGGGCACTTCTCCAGCCGTCCCGGAAAGCCGCGACCCCTGGCTTGTCAGGGTCCCAGTCTGCGATCCGCGCCCCTGGCGGCTCAGAAATGCACCTTCTCCCCTCCCGGTTCTCGGCTCAAGCCACCTCCCAACTCCTTTCCCGCTGGCTCGGAGCGGAATCACAGAGCTGCCTCCTCTTCCGGAGCGTTTCCCACCGCCCCAAGCGGAACCCCCGACCCTCACTAGGTTTCCACTCGGACACCAACTCCGCTACAGCCGCATCCCAGCTCTTGGAACCGGCGCTGAGGGACCTGCCCTCTAGCAGCGTGCATTACCTCAGATATGATAACCATCTTTGGGCGGAGACCAGAGAACTTGAAAGCTGGTATTTCGTAAATCTTAGCTATTCTAGATCCTCATTAGCTGTAGTGTCCCTGGCCCCACCTACTTCTAGCTAAGGCTGGGGCTCAGATCCAGTGAATCGCCTAAGGTCCTTGCTTCCCGCCAGCGCAGCAGCCTAAGCTTACCTGCAAGTGCTCCAAGACAGGTTGTTCTTTCATTTTTGGTTTGCAGGCCCTGCTCCCAAAGCCCTGTCTGAGCTTTTAACTGTGGAGGCAGAAACTCTGGGCTCCACCTCCACACGCTGCCTTTTACAGCCCAGTGAATTTGTCACAATACCTTTCGGCTTCAGTTACCTAACTGCCTAAAAAAGAAAGGAGGTGACTCCCACCTTCCTTCGATAATAGAAGTATAATGAGGATCAAATGGGATGGCTACTGCCATCACAGACATACTTTGCATCCTCGACCTCCCAGACTCGTGATCCTTCCACTTCAGGCTCCAGAGGGAGAGTAGCTGGGACTACAGGCACACACCTCTGTGCCTGGCTGATTTGTTTTTTCTAGAACAGGGACTCACTGTGTTGCCCAAGCTGTTCTCAAACTCCTGGACTCAAGCGATCCTCTTGCCTTGGCCTTCCAGAGTGCTAGGATCATAGGCGTGAGCCACCATGTCCAGCCTAGACAGTCTTGATTAAAGTTGTGGTCAGTGATTTGGGGTGGATCCCAGTGTGTTGGCAGCGGTGCCACAAAGCACATAGGCAAAATGTTGCTCACATTATTACAAGTGTAATTAACAATGCTAGTCATTCATCCCTGACGACTAACTTAAAATTAGGGACACCTACTCATTTAGTTAATTATGAATTTTTGCCTAGTGAACTCACACTTACAGTTTATAGGGTTTTTCTCTCATTTCTCAATGTGGTTTTAATGAGCATTTCTTTGTTTATTGGAAAATTGGAATCTCTCATATGTGTATTAGCATTTTGTTGTTTTTCTTTTTGTTGTTGTTGCTGTTGTTGAGACAGGGTCTAGCTCTGTCACCTAAGCTAGAGTGCAGTAGCACTGTATCGGCTCACTGCAACCTCCACCTGCTGGGCTCAAGCAATCCTGCAGCCTCAGCTCCCCCAAGCAGTGGGACTACAGACAGGTACAAGCTACTACATCTGTCTAATTTTTGTAATTTTTGTACATATGGGGTTTCACCATGTTGCCCAAGCTAGTCTCAAACTTCTGAACTCAAGCGATCCACCTGATTGGGCCTCCCTAAGTGCTAGGATTATAGGCCATGGTCATTTATTGTTCTTCTATGAACACATTTTATTGCCTTTCCTCTACTTAACCCATCTCCTTTAAACAGTTAATTTGTAAACAAATAACAGGTTCTGAAGCTCTTCTAAGGCAAGTAAATCCTTCTTGATCTAAGTCTTCCGTACAGTTTTTTTTTCCCTTCCCCACCCACCCCCATACAGTTTCTTTGTTAGGTCTCTTACAGTGCCAGGGTCAGGGAGTTCTCAGAAATCTGCAGACTCACCAAGAAGACTAGCCATTTGGAACTCAAGATTCTTAAGAAGACTACCATCTTCTAGTTTAATCTCTTAGGTAAGTCCACATGTTAGGATGATCATATATTCTTTTCAGATCAAGCTTCAAGGCATTTTGAGCCTGAAATACACGGGCAATTTGAAGTGCTTTAAGGCATTGGATGTACTAGTTTACAAGCTGTCATTGGTTCCCAAGCTGTATCAGAAGCATCTGAGGCATTTGTCACAAATGCAGATTCCCAGGCTCCAGCCATCCTACCAGATCTCTTGTATCAGGACTTCAAGGGTGGGGCCCAGGAATCTGTATCTTTCACAAACACTTTAATCAACTATCAAACTTGTATATAAAACTCTTCTGGTCTGGACATGGTGGCTCATGCCTGTAACCCCAACATTTAGGGAGGCCGAGGCAGGAGGATCACTTGAACTCATAATTTTGAGATCAGCCTGGGCAATGTGGCAAAAATCCATCTCTACAAAAAATACAAAAATTAGCCAGGCTTGGTGGCTTACACTTATGGTCCTAGCCACTTAGATGGCTGAGGTGAGAGGAGTGCTCAAGCCCGGGAGGTTGGGGCTGCAGTGAGCTATGATGGTACCACTGCACTCCAGCTTGGGCAACAGGGAAAGACCCTATATCTAAAAATAAATAAATAAAACTATTCTGGGCACAGATACACCTATGCCCAAAGTAGCTGTAAAATTTAAATTTTAAAATGTTCATTAGTAGTCTAGTGTGGTGATTCAGACCAGCAAATATTTCCTGAACATAGACTGTTTGTCAGGCATCCTGCTGAGCACCAGGAAATCAAAGATGAATAAGACATTGTCCAGTCTACAAGGAGCTCAGGTTTATAAGAGGAAGATGAACAATCAAAAATGAAACTGGGAAGAGGTAGAACAAGAAGGTGGAATAGAAAGCCCCGATCACCCCCCTTGCATAAACACCAAATTCAACAACTATCTACACACAAAAAAAGCACCTTTGTAAGAACCAAAAATCAGGTGAGCACTCACAGTACCTGGTTTTAACTTCATATCACTGGAAGAGGCATTGAAGAGGGTAGGAAAGATGGTCTTTTTGTTTTTAACTTTTATTTTAGGTTCAAGGATACAATGTAGGTTGTTTTATAGGTAAACTCATGTCATAGGGGTTTATCGTACAGACTGTTTCGTTACCCAGGTATTAAGCCTAGTACCCAATAGTTATTTTTTCTGATCCTCTTCCTCATTCCACCCTCCACTCTCAAGGAAGCCCCAGTATCTGTTCTTCCCTCTTTGTGTCCATGTGTTCTCATCATTTAGCTCACTATGAGCTTATAAGTGAGAACATGCCGTATTTGGTTTTCTGTTCCTGCATTTGATAAGGAAAATGGCCTCTAGCTCCATCTATTTCTTGCAAAATACATGGTCTTGTTCTTTTTTATGGCTGCATAGCATTCCATGGTATATATGTACCACATTTTCTTCATCCAACCTGCCATTGATGAGATTTAGGATGCTTGTTTGTTCTCGCTATTGTGAATAATGCTGGAGTGAACATACATGTCCTTATGTCTTTATGGTACAACAATTTACGTTTCTTTGGGTATATAACCAGTAATGGAATTGCTGGGTTTAATAGTTGTTCTGTTTTTAGCTCTTTGAGGAACCACCGCTCTGCTTCCCACAATGGTTAACTGATTTATACTCCCACCACCAGTCTATAAGAGGAAAGAAAGTATTGAATTGCGGATGCCACACTTTCCCCACCCATCCACAGTAGCCGCTTGGCATGGAGAAATCTGAGTGATTGGGAGGAGAAAGCAGCGGTTATGAGGCTTTGCATTGAACTCAGTGCTGCCTTGTCACAGCAGAAAACAAAAACAGGCTGAACTCAGCCAATGCCTGCCCTTCTGCCCTCTGAGGGAACATTTAGACCAGCTCGACACAGAGGGGAGTCATCCATCCCAGCAGTCAGAACTCGAATTCCAGCAAGCCTCACCAGACCACAGTCTGGAGTGCTCTGGGGCTCTAAATAGGCAGTTTAGACCATGGGAACTGTAAATCCTAATGCTGAGCTGGGCTCAGACCAAGTGGACTTGGGGGGCGTGTCACCTACTGAGACACAGCTAGGACAGATAAGGGGGTGCTTGTGCCACTGCTCCCCCAGCCCCAGGCAACACAGGTCCTGCCAAAAGAGACCTTCTTCCACTTGAGGAGAGGAAAGGGAAGAGTAAAGAGGACATAGCCTTGCATCTTGGATGCCAGCTCAGCCACAGTGAGACAGGGCACCAGTCAGAGCTATGAGGCCCCCATTCCAGGCCCTAGTTCCCAGATGACATTTTCAGACACATCCTGGGCCAGAAAGGAACCCAGTGCCTTGAAGGGAGGGGCCCGGTCCTGGCAGGAACCATCATGGGCTGGCTAAAGAGTCCTTGGGTCCTGAATAACCAGCAGTGATACCCAGATAGTATGCTATGGGCCTTAGGCGAGACTCTGAGAGGTGCTGGCTTCAGGTGGGACCCAGCACATTCTCAGCTGTGGTGGCTATAGTGAGAGATTCCATCTACTTGAGAAAAGCAGAGCAAAAAGAAAAGGGGACTTTGTCTTGCACTTTAGGTACCAGCTAGCCACAGTAGGGTAGAGCACCAGGCAGGCTCTTGGGGTCCCTAATTCCTGACCTTGGCTCTTGGACAGCATTTCTGGACCTGCCCTGGACCAGAGGAGAGCCCACTGCCCTGACGGGTGAGTTCCAGGCCTGGCCGCATTCACCACAAGCTGGGACTTAAGAGACCTTGGGCCTTAAGTGAACATCAGCAGTAGCATGGCAATACTCCTCATAGGCCTGTGGTGGCCACAGGATGAAGCTCCTCTGCCTGTGGAAATGGGAAAGAAGAATGAGAAGGACTGTGTCTCATGGTTTGAGGGCCAGCTCAGCCACAGTAGAATAGAACACCAGGTGAACTTCTAAGGTTTTTGACTCCAGTCTCTAGCTGGCAAACAGCATCTCTGGACCCACCCAGGTCCTGGGGGAATTCACCATCCTGAAGGGAAGGACACAAGCCTGGCTGGCTTCATCACCTGCTGATTGTACAGCCCTAGGACCATAAGCAAATATAAGCAGTAGCCAGGTAGTGATTACAGTAGGCCTTGGGCAAGACCCAGTGCTGTGCTGGCTTCAGGTCTGACCCAGAGCAGTCCCAGTGGTGGTGGCCACAAGGGTGCTTGCATCACCCCATCCCAGCTCCAAGAAGCTCAGCACAGAGATAGAGAGACTCCATTTGCTTGGGAGAAAGTAAGGGAAGGTAACAGGAGTCTCTGCTTGGTAATCCAGAGAATTCTTCCAGATCTATGTAAGATCACCAAGGCAGTATTGCTAGGAGTCTGCAAGAACCACAGCATTACCAGGCTCGAGGTGCCCCCTAATGCAAATACAGC